GGATAACTACCTTAGCACTAAAAAGGAAGAGAGGGAGACCTTCTAAAAGGAGTCGCAAAGTATAGAATATAGTTTCTTTTATATAGAGTTTATTACTCTAACCGGTTTAGTACTCTCCTTTAGAGGTATAATAATATCTAAAAAGTAACGCTTAGTGCTCTTATTAGAGGCATAATAATATCTTTAAAAATAACGCTTAGTACTCTTAGCAGAGGTGTAATAATGTCTTAAAACGCAAAGGCACCGTAGAGCTACCGTAGGGCGACCTAAACGGCACTCTTCCCCTACTAAATTAAATGCCGAGTGCGGTTATTAGGAAGGGAGACAAGAATCGCGTTCTTAGTAGTAGTATCTACGACTATATTCGAGGGCGGACCGCCGCTACTACTACTACTATTACGGTATATCTCCTAAGCCGCCTTACGACGCTTTATTGCCTCGATATCCCTTGTAGCCTACTAGTTCTAAGTCGGCTAATTAGCACTATTGCTCTTCGTAGTACGCTTTACCTTCTTAATAATACCCTTAGACTCTATGTTATTAAGGTAGTTAGTACCCGTCTACTTCGCACGACGATAGAACTTAGAAGCGTAGTTACGGAAGCGGACCTTACGACGGTCGCGATCGTTACTAGGGGGAGTCTTCTCGGTAGTACAACGAAGCTATAAAAAGATTAGCAAGGGTACTATAGAGGTGCCGTAGAGATATATACGTACTTTAAGATATTAGTAGTACGAGCTATCTTAGATAGTAGAGGATAGCACTAGGAGCGGGACTTATTACCCTTGCAATTAGTGTAGTTATTAGGAGACTACGAGGCGTAGTCGTAAGGACAATTAAGAGGCAATTGCTTCGCCTTAGTAAGGGTGTTCCGGTTACTAGTAACGGGGGAGTAACGATAAAGACACTCGACTATACGCGCGGTTAGTTAAAAGCTACTATAGAGGTACCGTAACATACGTACGATAGTACTAAACTCGAACATCTAGCCGRGGCTACGTATTAGTAGGGAAGCGGGTAACCTTAGTAATAGGCTCGTTAGAGGTATTAGTCTTGCCTACGCTATAGGCCTAGTAAGGGAGAGTCGTAGACATCTTACTACCGCTACTAAGCTAAGCGGTTATACTATTCTATAAAGTGCGACGATTATTACGGTTACCTATAATTATCTAAGGGCGACGCCGTAGCCGAGGAGGGGAACTATAAAGAGTATTTAAATAACGCTAGTAACGCTCTAGATTATAGCGGATGTCGAAGGCCTCGTCCTTAGGCAAGAGGGGAAGGATACTACTTAGCAAAGGGCGTAGTAGTAGAGTAGAGGTAATAGCGGATTTAGATAATAGTATTAATAAAGGAGAACAACCTATAACTAACGAGTATTTTGTAGTAGAAGTAGAAAAGCACCTTAGCGGCACCTTAAAGATAAGGTTATACTACTTGCATAAAAAGGAATATAGAAAAAAGTAAATATAATAGGCTTTATAAGGAAAAATAAGTAAATTTTCTCGGCTTCTAACACTTAGTAAAACAAAAGTAAATAACTAAATTTACTTATATTGCTTATATTACGCTGCTATACCTAAGATAAGGCGTAGAGGTACCGTAGCGGTACCGGGGCTATAGTCCTTTAACTATAGGAAACAAAATGCGGAAAAGTACTCCGGG